GTAGAGGACGCGTTGGCAGTGACCTACATATTTTTTAAATAGTTTTTAGGTATTTTGTTTTATATTTTGGACTTTTTAAAACAAATTTAAATAATGTTTTTATTATTTTTAATTTTTTTATTTTTATTTTATTTTTTTCACATTTTCATTATTATTTTATAAATATTTTATTATTTTTTATATTTTTATTATAAATAATACTATGATTTTCTTATGGGAAAATGGAAACTAATAATCCAACCTTTTAGCGGTCTTCTTACAATAGTCCCACATTTTCATTATTCATGAATAATTCAACTTTTGCACCACATCTTCATTCACCGGTCTCTGACCGATTTATGACCTGTTATTCCAAGTTATTTTCCTATCATTGCAAAACATTATACCATAATTCACACCTTATGATCACATAATGGGAAGAAGAGACATATATTAGTCCTATTAGTTAATTTTAATGGAAATGATTCATTGTCCCATTATATTGAATGAGACGATAAAAGAAAAACAAATTATGAGCAACCACCTTTGGTTATTTTTATTAATTAAGATTCATATTTATTTTAATATATACTCCCTCCGTCCCAAAAAGATTGGTCAATTTGATTTTTCTTGGTCAATGGTGAGCAAGTTTGACCCAATGATATCTTTTAATACGAAACTATTTAAAATATGAAAAATATATGAACATATTCTTTATTTTAAAAAATTTCATAAATGATTTTTTTAAATTTCACACATATATAATACCAAAAATCATTATTTAAACTTAAACATCATTGACTAAGAAAAGTCAAACTGAACGATCTTTTTTGAACGGAGGGAGTACATAATATATAGGGAAAATTCCCAAAACAAGAGTACAAAAATTTAAAAATTCCAAAATACGACTGTCATGGTTTTATTTTAAAAATATGAGTAATTATTGTCAAGTTTAGAAAACAATGTCATGTTTAACGTCTGATACTGCCAAAACATTGTAGTAATTAGTCATATTTTTGGAATAAAAACATAATAGTCCTATTTTGGAATACACAAACGTTTTTAGTCCTATTTATGGCAATTTCTCTAAAACAAATTTTTGTACAACACACAATTATTTGGTCTAATTGATATATGGGTTTAATTTACTATGAGAATTGAGAGAAAAAATAAAAATATTGTATTTTTTTATGTAGAATATATAGATTTTTAAAAAAATAAATTGCTCTAATTTGGAGTAAATATGCTTGTGACTTCCAATATAAGACCATTATATTTGTGTTCCTTAAATAGATTTGAAATATGACAATATCTTTTCAAATCCGACGGTAGTTACTCATATTTAGGGATATAAACATAATTATCGTATTTACAAATTTTAAAATGTTTTTACTCATATTTCGAGAATTTTTCACTTTTGGAGATAATTACCTCAGGTATGACTAAAACTCAATGAGTTTCCCAATCTCCGACCTAACTACTTTTTTTATCAAAATAATATTAAAAATCATAATATTTAATTAAAATTCGTAATTAATAAATAATAAATAAATTCTGTGAACAAATATACCCTTTAGCTTATATCTATAAAACCTTAACCTCCTATTCCTTTTCTAAACCCTAGCTACAACCTCCCATGCCCACCCGCGCAGCCGCCCTACCGTCCAATTATGCCCGTCGTCTAGCCACCACTAACCGTCCAACGCCGCCGCCTTCCATAGAACTCCGGCCTAGGAGCATAGTTGTCGACCCAAAAGCAACGTGGCTTGTTGGCCATTTGTCCGCCCGTCATGGGTGCCAAGGTGCCACCCCATGACCCACTGTCCGCCGATGCAACCGGCCGTTTGCTTGCCCGGCCACCCACAGCCCCACACCTTCTCAACGCGGTTACCGCCCATATTGACGCCAGCGCCCGCGGCCATCCCGATCCATGGGCGCCACCATCCAGCCGCCCACCATCTTCTCCTAGATCCACCGCTGGAAAGTGTGCGAAACCTAGCAGGGAGGGGGGAGTGCGGCGCACGTTAATTACCTGAAGTGAAGATGGGCTTATAGTTGTTACGTGAAGGTGGGTCTCTCACATTAAGGGGTTGTAGCAATTTGTTGAATGCATTGAATGCAGAGGGCACTGCTCTGGAATCTGGATTCACTATTGCGTTGGCCATCGATTCTCATTTCTGCTTTTCTATTTTAAAAATTAGAAGTTTCTAAAATTAGGGTTTGTGCTCATTAAATATGAGCATTGAAAACCGGTAGTTAATATTTCAATAAGTGTTGAGTATTTGAGTGAATATATATGATAATAGCCATGTTGTACATAACGGTGAATGAATGCATTAAGAAATTTTGTTGTACAGTGATTATGACCAGTATTGCAGTGACGCAGAGCAGTAATATCTTCATGAAATGGGATATACTTAATTAGACGTAAAATAATTAAATTATTAAATCTAAAAAAATTAAAAATTAAAACTAAAAATAAATTCCTCAAGTGAATGAGAAGAGAATTAATTTTTGTGAAAGTGGAGTGATTATTACCGGATGTGCAGTAAAGTCAGGGCCGGCCATAGAGGGTAGGCACCTAGGTAGTGGCCTAGGGCACCACTCCCAAGGGGGGCATCATTCTCCTATCCAACAGGTTTTGGTCCGAACGCCGTCCGAACAATGCCTTTCGGGGAGGTTCTCGGTGGAATTTTTTGATGAAATTTTTATGGTATGTTCTTCATCAAGTCTAGTTTATCCAAAAAAAGTTAAGCTCAAAATCCGACCAGGCAGGCCGTCAAATAATTTTTGGAAATTAACTGCACAAAACTATACATAGAAAAACGCAGTGAACTTCCAAAAAATATTTGACGGTCTTCTGGATCGAGTTTTGAGCTGATTTTTTTGTGAATAAACTAGACTTGATGCATAACATAACATAAAAATTTCATCGAAAAATTCCACCGGAAACAGCCCCAAACGGCGGTGTTCGGACGGCGCCTCAGGTCCGAATTTTCGGACCTGAGAATTTTCCTCTATATATATATATATATATATATAGAATAAACTGGCTCAATAAGAATTAGTGATCACGATGATTACCTCGTTGATAAAAAATGGAGTTTTAGTGACAAACACTAAACTCGGTGCTTGCAAATGGTGAAAAAAGTGTTATCTACTCTTGATTGTGGTGATGTACTTACAAATTTGCACATCAAAAAGCAAGAAGAATATATTATTAGGTAGTACTTTTATAATTTTATTTATTTCATTGAAGAATTTATATTTTCACATACTTTTCATCAATTTTAAACCAGGTATTTCTTTTTACATTTAGTAAAAAATGATGTTATAATTTTCTAATTATTTCATATTTAATTATGTTATTAATTTGAAGTACAATTTGATATCATTAGTTATTTTTTGTCTGGGGCACCAAAACTCCTGGAGACGACCCTGAGTAAAGTCGTGCATTAATGTCGTGCAGTAACGTCAATACAAAGTGCAGTAATTTTAATTGAACAAAATTAGTGAAAAATGCACATATTTTAAATAAGAGTATTTTCACCATTCAATCTTTAAATATAAACGATTTTTTTTTGGATTTTCGGTCATACAAAGGTCCAAAAACCAGTTAGGTCATAAATTGAGAAGCTAATTGAGTTTTAGTCATAGAAAAGTTTTGCTATCCTAAATTCTAAAAGACTTTAATTAGAATAATAATTATAGAAAAAAGATTTCGGCGAATGTTGATCCAATTATAAAAAAAGGATGACACCCCATCCCTGAGGCCTCCTAGTACTGACCGGACGGTACGTTGAGAGGATGTAAATTGGATTATAATCACAATCTGACAGATAGAGAGTGAGGCAATGTCCCCAGTACTTGCAGAGGCCCTATACATTTTTTGCAGTTGGAATTGCTAGGATTCGAACCCAGGACCTAACCCTTGTGGCACTCACTCACTACCAGTTGAGCTACGCCCACCGATTTTTGTTGTTGATCCAATTATCTTGGTCCAAAAGGTGGAATCTCCCACCCCAGGACCCCCCATACCCCGACCCGACAGGATTTTTGAGAGGATGTTAATCACGGTGACTCAGTCGGTCCAATGATGGTAGGCCTTTTTCCCGTGCGCACCAGAGACCCAACCTTATTTCAGGTTCTGTGACCTCCACACGGCCGGTGCGGATTAGAACCTTGGTCACTTGGTTCAAATTTCCCACCACTGAACCAACTGAGCTACCCGTGCGGATTTGTTGATCCAATTATCATAGCCATGTAGGTGAAGTTTTTAATGAATAGGATATGGTTTGTGTACATTTAGGTATGCCATTTTATGCAGGGGCGGATCCTTGTGTGAGCATGGGTGGGCTCCAGCCCAGCCCAAATTTTATTTTTTAATTAGTATATGCATAAAATTAGTGTCCAGCCCATCCCAAAATTAACTCCTAGCCCACCCCAAAATTAATTTCCAATCCAATCCAATCATATTATCAACTATTCCAATCAAATTATTTATAATACAATTGAAGATTAGAGAATAATTTATTTATTATGTGGACATGTAAGAAATAGTTAAAAATTTCAATTGAAATTTGAAATACTAGAATCTTTAATAATCATTAATAAATTTATAAAATCACACTAAAAATGTTTAAATTTTAAGTTATATACGGTTTTTATTTATTCCTATGATTTATAAGTTAATGATAGGTCGAGCCCGGATTGAACCGAACATCACTAAGCTCAAACTCGGCTTGAATAACTATTCGAACTTAAAATCTAGCCGTTTTCGACTTCGAAGCTTGTTAAGCTTGAGTCATTAAATTAAATTTGAAATCGCGTTCAAACTCGAGTAGTTCAAAAAAGCTTAGTTCGATAACAACCCTAAATTAAACATTTTGTGTGCAGTAACAACTTTTTTTACTGCTTAGCCCACCCCACATCCCGTTCCTGGATCCGCCCCTGATTTTATGTTATCAGCATCACATCAGAATAGCAAATGAGTCATTTCATATCACATTGGTGATGCCCTATTCCTCACCTTATAAAAATATGGCCGAAACGCATAATTTGAGGTAAAAGCGTCATGAATTGCGCTAAGTATTTTTTCAATTTCAAGAATGTGATCAAGCTTGATGATTTAGTGAAACCTGGTGTTATCATCGCGCCACGATTTCTTTGTATAATAGAATTGAAGAGGTATCTTCTTTCATTTGATTAATTTAGTTTGTCTAATGCTTGATGTGGTCTGTCATTATGGATGCATTTTTTCTCGTATAAATAAGATATGAGCGCATATTAGATAATTAGATGGTTATTATCAATATGTCGTTTTAATCTTCCCAATTGAACATAAAAGATACTACCTCCCTCTCACAAAACTTTGCCATTTCAAAAAATATTTGAATATTGATTTTGATTAGTATAATATTATGAAAATCATAAATTTTATACTTTTATGAAAGTACTTTTAACAACGAACATTTTCATAAATTTTTTTTATTATAAATAATTTTCAATAAAAAGATATAGTCGGTCAAAGTTTTAAAAATGACAAAGTTTTTTGGGACGGAGGTAGTAGTTATTATGTGATTTACTATCAGCTCTTAATCGGTTAAATAAAGTTGGTTAATCTCTCTAAGAGGTCTTTGATAACACCGACATGAGATGAATTGACTGAATGTAGTACAATCAGTGAAATTGTGATTGAAACAATTGAATGGACTGGATTTTTCAAATCAGTGAAATAATATACTCCCTTTATCCCTTAAAACTTTGTCATCTTTCCTTTTTGGGACGTCCCAAAAAACTTTTGTACATTCCCTTTTAATAAATTGTTTTGTGGTTTCTGTTATTTCTCTTTCCTCTGCACAAACCTCAACCACACAATTTTTACTTTATTATTCTCCGTGCCAAAGTTTTAAGGGACGGAGGTAGTAAAAAATACGGAGTAGAGTTTTAAAGTAGTCTTACTTTTCAAAACATATATAAACTATCAACTTCTAACAAAATTGGAATGTTTCTCTAAACCAATCTCTCTATATGTTTCTTTTTCTATGTTTTTGTTATCATTAGTAGTATACACATAATACGAATCCTGAATAGGTGATGAATAAGTGACGTGATAGTTCCTTTGAAATTAGGTATATCGTTCGTAAGCATTGTGACTTAAAGTACAAAGATTGGAGGTTTGTACTCGAAAGCATTAGAGCACCACTTCGTGACAAACTTCTGGTAAATAGTCATCATATGCAGACGACTTGGTTTATTTAGTTTATTTTCATTTACAGAGAACTATTTTATCGCAATCAAATGTATTTCTTTTTATTTCTTTGTTATACATACATTGTTTGATGTTGATGTGAGAAATGCAAACGTCAAAAAGGTCATTGATAAGCAAATGCAAAGAGCTTGGCATGGGCACAAACATAACTTACGTAAACATTTCGTAGAAGTTGGAGGTGCAGGTGATCTAACAAAGGCAAAGACCGAACCTCACGAGGAAGTTAGCCAAGTTGATTGGGAATATCTATGTGATTCTTGGAGTACCTGTGAATACCTAGTAAGTATATTATCTCATCTAACTTGTAAACTTTTTTTAGTTATTGCTAATGTATTATTATTAATTATATTGAAACTTTGCTATAAAACAAATTCTCCAACCAGATCTGTTCCCTGCACTTGAGTTACCTTTTTTGTAAGAAGAACCCCACCATATGAAGTAATAGTACAGAAAAAATTAAGGGTATGTTTTGGAGCTGAGTTTTGGAGGGGAGGGGATGATTGGTGGGGTTTATAACCCTCCTTCTCATGTTTGGGAATAAAAATTTGGTAGAGATGGTTTTGGAGGGTTTTTGCAACCCTCTAAATCCTTAATTTTTACGTTCCCCCAATTTTGAGGGTTTTGAAGAATAATTAATGAAATGATAATTTAAGCTCAAAATGATAACCAATTCAATTTTGTAGTTCGTCATATCTCAAAGTCATTTTAATTAGTATTCCTTCAAAAACTCTCTTCTTTCACAATTCAAACTCCCAAATACGAAAAAGAGTTTTCTCACCTTCCTTTCCCTTTCCTCTCTAACAACATGCTTCCAAAGTCTTCCCCTCTACTTCCCTTCAAACTCCCAAACATATCCAACTCACAAACATACCCTAAGGGATCCAATTGGAGGAACTTCTAAACTCACAAAAAACATCAGCACTCACACAAAACACACAACATTGAACATGTTTCATTCAAAAAAGCACAAGCATGCTTATGTTTCCATCCCAGAAAATGTTAGGGAAAGGGGAGGATAATAGATAAAGTCACTTGCATGTGTTTAGTTTTGCGTAGAGAAATCTGATGTGATTAATGCTTAAATTAAATACGGAGTACATCTCTACAATAGTATAAGAGTGAATATTGTCAAGGCTTAAACTGTCATACAAAAAATGTTGGTTGTTCTTGGTGCATAAGCTGATTGTACTTTCTGTTCACTTAGTTGCACATCTTTAAACTCTTATCGCCTTCCACCGTTATGTCCTCATATGGAGGAAAAACGTGTTCGCATTTTTTGAGCTTTAATTTTAAAAAAACGAAACAGCCTTAACCTCTTCCGTCTCGACACTTTACCTTATTGTACGTTGAAGATCCTGAGAGCCCCTTCGACTCATCTCTTCCGTTTCAACTGCTCGACATAGCTCCTCCACAGTAATGGCGTTTGGGCAGTTTGGTTTCTCAAGCGTCCTCCCTTGGTTGCTTATAAATGCCGTGCCAAAGCTATTCAATCAATTTTCCGCTTCTGCCATCTTGTACTTTGCTGGTGAGTTTTCCTCTATATTCAATCAATTTGCATTCTCTAGTTGCTTTACCTGCGGATTTGTATGATTATCCTTCTGTTTTCCGCATCTATGATTCATTCTGCGCTTGTGAACTGTTTCGTATAATTAGTTCAATGGAGACTTTTTTTGGGGTTTTCTCTATTTAAATCTGTCACCTCCCAAATTTCTTTGTGATTGAAGTTGCTCCAGCATGGGATTAGACTATGAGAGTAATAGGGTTGGCATTGTTCCATAACGCCTAATCGAGAGGGGAGGGGCTATTCCTTAACATCGCCAATCCTCAAATGCTTGATTACGTAATCAAGAGGGGAGGGGCTGTTCCATTGAAAGAAAAATCGATGAAATTCTCAAGCCCCGCTAAGACTTGGGCATTTGTACTTAGATTTTAGGTGGGTTCGCTATCCGCTTATTGGAACTCTATCTAATGACCTATGCATTTTGTTATCATTTCCAGATTGACCTTCACTTCTCTATTTACTATCCCCTGAATTGCTCTTCCTTCCAGTAGATATTTTTGGTCTTAGCCAGGCTTTTACAGATAGATCTTGCTAGCCGAGGATGTTCCAAGAACCTCTCCCACTGAATGAGATAAACTCTAAGGAGTATATCAAATAAACTATTCATCGTTTGGTTGAAGAAACCTTGGATACAACCCCATTGAGAACAATGATATTCTTCATGTTACATAGAGTTCCATAGTGGCCCTCATTAGCTATACCCTCATTCATATGTAATTAGCTTAAATGTGCCTACGAAGGAACTCCTAAACTCTTTAACAGAAAACTGAAAAGGTTGTGGTTGTTTGCCCCATCTCTGTCCAGATTAGTTTTTAACAAGTACATTACTATCACTTTTGAAGGAAATATTTTTGGGAGATTAGTTAGAGTTTTCTCGGGTTATGATTATACCGAAGGGAAAAAATGAAGTTGGTTTCACTAGATTAACCGCAAGTCTCTCACGCTGCATATTGCTTACCCAATTTACCTCATTTTCATTTAACCTTAGTTGAAGAAACAATTAGCCATGGGGCTGCTGACCTTGGTAAAGATTTTAAAAAAGATAACAATAGCAAATAGCTCTGTATCGCTCTGAACTATTCTGAAATAGCAAATTTCAACTGATTTAATGACAATGACTTGGTTTCATTAAACACTTTGTTAGTATTGTCTTCACTTTGTTATTATATGTGATCTTATTTTTACATACTTTGTCTGGTTTTTTCTTTCAGTTTTCATACGTTAAGGTGTATTTTTTGGAGTTTTATCTATCATAGACTAATTTCATCCTCTGCGTACTTTTTAAAATGTTTTTAGGCTTGGGAGATTGTTTGCAGCTTGAGCTCAACGTGTTTCGTTTGGAGGTAAGATACTTTTTTTAAAAAGAAATATGTATTGAGTGCAAATGTATGGTAAGTGACTTAAGTTTAGTATTCTGTAATTCTGTCCAGTTTTTTCCTAAGGGGGAATAGTAGGTTACTGATGCATTCTATATCTGCAAATGTCTTCCTTTTATGATGCTCAACATAATCATTGTTGTTATTGTATTCATCTCTGTTACTATACAACCAAATGAACTATTTAATATATAAAAGAGAACACAAAAAGTATAGTTCTATTTGGAATACTTCATAATATTGAGAAACTGAGCTTCATTGAAATGAAAACTTAGCATTTCTTTATCCATTTAGCACTTCAGTTTACTCCTGTATAGATTTTTACTTTTCCCCCTATCATACATCTGTCAAAGACTCCTATTTTTGAGGTTCAAACTTATTGTTTCAAGATTTTTAAATTCAGTGTGTTGTTGAAATGGGAATTCATATCTTGTTTGGTGTTAAGTTTATTGGAGAAAACGTTGCTATTAATAAAATATTATCATCTTCTTCATTTCTTTGATTTTTCTATTCTCCATTCTTCTTCATTTCTTTCCTTCCTTTCCCTTCTTTCCTTCCTTTCAGAATATTAAAGGGTTGCAAAGTGATCTTTTTACTTTTTGCCTTTTTGCAACCCAACAAATGAGTGAAAAATATGTTGGGAAGAAGCCCATAAGATGAGATGTGTCACATTTTAAGAAATTGAAAACACTATTTCCATTTTAGACTATCATTATCCAAAAACTGAACATCCTCACTATGATTTCTGAAATACATAAATACACCACAAAGCAAGACCTAATCCCCCTGGAAATGCTAAGGAGACCAATTAATTTTTCAAGAATTTCAAATCACACGAGCAAAATAACATTAGCAAATGAAAAATCGAATCTAATACTACAACAACAACAACATCCAAGCCTTAGTCCCAAAAGATATTGGGGTCGGCTAACATGAATCGATACATGATATCACAACCAAAAGGAAAAGAAGGAATAAAGATAAAAAGATAAGCTATTATGAAAAGACAATATAAAAAAAGATGAATATATATAAAAATGATAAAATAAAAAGGCTGCAAATAATGTTTATATATATAAGGATAAAAAAAACTAGGAAGAAAAAGATGAGGGAAAAAGATTATCAAGATCACTCCTTCACGTGAATACCCGCCCTCCACTTAGTTCTCTCCAAAGTCATGCCCTCATCCAACCCCAGAAGAAGCATATCACTTCGAACTCCCCTAACCCACGTCTGTTTGGGTCTTCCTCTCCCTCTCTTCCCTGCCTCTTCTCCACACATCTCAACTCGCCTAACAGGTGCATCACTCGGTCTTCTACGCACATGACTAAACCACCGTAGGCGCGACTCCCGCATCTTGTCTTCAATAGGTGTTACTCCCACCCTTTGTCTGATTGTCTCATTCCTCACGCGGTCCTTCCTAGTATGCCCACACATCCAACGCATCATGCGCATCTCTGCCAACACTCATCTTTTGAATGTGGCATTGTTTCACCGCCCAACACTCTACGCCATACAGTAATGCAGGCCTAATTGCTGTCCTATAAAATTTACCCTTCAGTCTAGTCGGTATACCTCGGTCGCATAGAAATCCTGACGCACTCTTCCACTTCATCCACCTTGTTCTGATTCTATGGGATACATCTCCATCTAACTCACCGTCCTTCTGAATTATGGAGCCCAAGTAACGGAACATATCGTTGACCGGTATCTCCTTACCATCCAAAGTAATTCCGCTATTACCACTACTTCTACCTCCACCAAACTTGCACTCCATGTACTCTGTCTTGCTCTGACTTAGTTTGAAACCCTTATTCTCCAATGTTTGTCGCCATACTTCCAACTTTGCTTTAAGACCTGATTGCGTCTCATCAATCAATACAATATCGTCGGCAAACATCATGCACCACGGTATATCGTCTTGAATTGACTTCGTAAGTTCATCCATGACTATGGCAAATAAGAAAGGACTCAAGGCCGATCCTTGGTGCACTCCGATAGTAATAGGGAACTCTTCAGTCCTCCCTACACTAGTACGAACACTTGTAGTACAATCCTCATACATATCCATTAGTAGAAAAATCGAATCTAATACTAAGTTGGAATTGCTCTCTCTTCTTGTTATGAAAAATAGGCCATATTACATTGTAGCATATGTTTTTTCATGGAAAGGGTTAAAAGAAAAGCATCTCAAAAAACTAAGAGAGCCTAAGAACATTCAACAATTTAGATGCATAAGAAAGAGAAGCCAAAAAGGTAGAATAGAAGGATGGGTCTAAAATATATTACCGACCCGAGACATGGCACTACGGCAGTTTTCACAATATAACTTATGGCCAAATGTTTTTGACCAATTTGTATGATATCAAATGATGGAGTCATTTTTCACAAAAAAAAATATGTAAAAAGTTCAACTAAGTAGTATGTTATCACATCTTAATGAAATGACTAAGTTACTATCCCAATTAATCCTATTACGTTGTAAGGAACTCTATCTAATGACCCTCTAAGACTTGGGCATTTGTACTTGGATTTTAGGTGGGTTCGCTATCCGCTTATTGGAACTCTATCTAATGACCTATGCATTTTTTTATCATTTCCAGATTGACCTTCACTTCTCTATTTACTATCCCCTGAATTGCTCTTCCCTCCAGTAGATATTTTGGTCTTAGCCAGCCTTTTACAGATAGATCTTGCTAGCCGAGGATGTTCCAAGACCCTCTGCCACTGAATGAGATAAACTCTAAGGAGTATATCAAATAAACTATTCATCGTTTGGTTGAAGAAACCTTGGATACAACCCCATTGAGAACAATGTTATTCTTCATGTTACGTAGAGTTCCATAGTGGCCCTCATTAGCTATACCCTCATTCATATGCATATTGATTAAATGTGCCTACGAAGGAACTGCTAAACTCCTTAACAGAAAACTGAAAAGGCTGCGGTTGTGTGCCCCATCTCTGTCCAGATTAGTTCTTAACAAGTACATTACTATCACTTTTAATGGTAATATTTTTGGGAGATTAGTTAGAGTTTTCTCGGGTTATGATTATACCAGAGGGAAAAAATGAAGTTGGTTTCACTAGATTAACCGCAAGTCTCTCACACTGCATATTGCTTACCCAATTTACCTCATTTTCATTTAACCTTAGTTGAAGAAACAATTAGCCATGGGGCCGCTGACCTTGGTAAAGATTTTAAAAAAAGATAACAATAGCAAATAACTGGTTTTTTCTTTCAGTTTTCATACTTTAAGGTGTATTTTTTGGAGTTCTATCTATCATAGACTAATTTCATCCTCTGCGTACTTTTTGAAATGTTTTTAGGCTTGGGAGATTGTTTGCAGCTTGAGCTCAACGTGTTTCGTTTGGAGGTAAGATACTTTTTTTAAAAGAAATATGTATTGAATGCAAATGTATGGTAAGTGACTTAAGTTTAGTATTCTGTAATTCTGTCCAGTTTTTTCCTGAGGGGGAATATCAGGTTATTGATGCATTCTATATCTGCATTTTTAGCAATTTATCTGTAATTTCACTTGTTTTTGTCTCCATTCCACTTGGTATTTGAAAAATTAGACTCAACAGGTTGAATGTCTTCCTTTTATGATGCTCAACATAATCATTGTTGTTATTGTATTCATCTCTGTTACTATACAACCAACTGAACTATTTAATATATAAAAGAGAACACAAAAAGTATATATCTATTTGGAATACTTCATAAATTTGAGAAACTGAGCTTCACTGAAATGAAAACTTAACATTTCTTTATCCATTTAGCACTTTAGTTTACTCCTATATAGATTTTTACTTTTCCCCCTATCATACATCTGTCAAAGACTCCTATTTTTGAGGTTCAAACTTATTGTTTCAAGATTTTTAAATTCAGTGTGTTGTTGAAATGGGAATTCATATCTTGTTTGGTGTTAAGTTTATTGGAGAAAACGTTGCTATTTATAAAATATTATCATCTTCTTTAGTATAGGCACTGATTCACTGAGATTAAACTGTTTTGGCTTGAATTTTTAGGCCTATTGTTGAAAAAAACAATCAGTTTTACAGTAAATAATTAAAACAACGCACTTAATACTACTGCAATTCTGGCTTATACTTTTTTCCCTTGGTAAGTTGCTAACTGGTTGTAAGTTAAGAAAGGAAAACTATGATGACTGAATTTGAAAAACCAGATTTTATAACCAATTCGAGGAGAGAGAAAAATACCTTAAGGAGAACTCCCCCCTTATGGTGTTCAAATTCAATTGTTAAGCAGACAACCTACAAAAAAAAAGTCCGTTAACATGTTTGTATTTGTCATATAAAAATGAGCCAAATGCTAGGCCAAAATATGCAAGCAGTGACCCCTTCCAAAATATGCATTCAGTTGTTACTATTGGGCCTACTAGGATACCACTCATTCTCTTTAGGTGTTGCATCTTGAAATGTGATCATCCTGGGTAGAGTATTAGTGGAAAATGATGAGCCTGTCATATAATAAAATTTCCGTTACAATCCCACTATTGTATCCTTTCATGGGATTAACTAATTGGTGACGTAAGTGAAGACATACATAAGTCTATTAACTTCCTTTGAAAGCTAGGAAGCTTTAATTATATACTGCCTGAATATCTTAAGCTTTTTACTTGAGTGTTAATCGTATGAGATAATTGAGTAACTTATTGTAATATATTAGGTGTTAACCCATACATAATCTATAAGAGCTAAGGGTCACTTCAAAATAAACAAACCAGGGAAATTAAGTGATTTTTGGATTAATCCTGATTGTTGTTGTCTTTCCATTGACTGAGATTTTTTTCCTAAAAAAAAGGAACTTAGTGATAAACATATAGTTGTATATCAAGAACAAGAAGTGTCACATGTCAGGAGTTTTTTTGTTCATTTTTGGTAAAAAAGTAGATTGCTACTTTACTTCACCACACTCACTAAATATCCCAACCTTACCACGATTGCTACTCACCACCACTAATTTAATGGCATTCGTATGTCAAAACTAAAAAAAGGATTATACATATGGAGAAGTGGAGTATTTCATTACTTTTTTATTCCACTGCCTGCTGGTTGAGATCCCCTAAATTGAGTTTTGCTGAAATATTTTGATTTATATTTTTTAACTTTACTTCATTCAATGCTATTGGTACTTGATCGTTTGGAAGCTTATTACAAAACAAAACTGAGTTTTGCTGAATTTTTTATACATAGAAGGACTATTAGCCTGAAAGTGTATAATTGGTGCACACTTCGAAAGTCTAAAACATTAATGTACAATTAAAAGTTGATTTGTATGTCCATGTCCACCAGTAGGTCTTCTGTTTCTCAAACCAAGCCACTATTATTTTGCCTAATGATCCAGAATGTGTGTTACTGAACTTCAGTACTTCACTCTGTAGCATTTTTCAAATGTTTTCGTATTTATTTATTTATAAAGGGAACTACATGTATTCGTTTTTTGGTCAGCAAAAACACATGAATAAAAGTATACATTGAACTGACGTTTGGAATATGATAAATCCGTATTTCCACACGCAAATTTGTTTGCTCATGACTAGCAAACCTGAACTACATACCCAGCTTGCCTTGGGGTAACATTACTGTATAGATTCATCAACCGTGAGTAAATAATAGAAAAGTATAGATTCACATACCAAGAAATAAACCTTGAGGAGATAAATGTATTAATTTCAAAGTGGTTCATTATGTCTTTCACCAAATGGTAGAACTTGCATTAGCAGGAATTGTAACTTGCACGCTTAAGTAGAGCATGCTTATAGAAAGAATTAGTTATACATCCACGTTCACTTACATACAAGGTATACCTTTATGTATAGACTGGTGTAAAGCTTATAATGCTCAATTGGTGCCTTGGTGATTTGCCATCATAAACTGTTCGCGAGGTTTAAATATTAAAAATTCTGGAATAATGATTGCTAATTTGTTGAAGATTGCACCTTGGCAGCATTTACGACATACAATGTACTTGTAAAGACATGACACACAACTTTACAGTAAACCAACGTAGGTAAAAATCATGAAAGTTAGGGAGACTAAATATTGAATATAGAGATTATTTTAACAAAAAAAGTACAACGATAGATGATGGACTCCATGACCATGGGAAAAACTTACTTTTCTACTGAGACATGGTACTCTTTGTCTTTCAACTAAATAGAAGAGGAAAATAGTGTTATTTTTGAATGTTTGATGAATGCCTAAACATTAATTTTCTTTTACCTAGCACTACCTCTCTAGGTTCTAAGTGCTGCATGTACATACTCCAGTGGATTTATTACAGGCACAGTATACCATCTAAAGGCATCTCCCCGTTATTTTGTTTATTCAAGACTTCAAGTATAGTAAATGTATAGCTCTGAACTATTCTGAAATAACAAATGCCAACTAATTTAATGACAATGACTTGGCATGACAGCTGAATACGATTTCATTGAACACTTTGTTAGTATTGTCTTCACTTTCCACCCTTTTACAGATTGATTTAACCTACTATGTACTTTTTAAAACCTTCTTTTAGGTTGGAACGATTGTTGGCAATTTGAGCTCAGTGTGTTTCATCTGGGGTAAGATAGTTTTCCATAATTACATTGTACCTATCTATACTTGTTTCTGCTGCTTTAATTAGGCCTTTCGACTGTCTTTCCTTTAAAAATACATTTATTAGCCTTACTAACTATTTTTCTTTTTTTACTCAATTAGTGAAAGATATAAAATACCAATAGCATTCGTGTGTAAATAGCGAGTGCCCCAATATAAACATAAATATGAAATCAGGAAGAATACTTGTAGTACTTGGAAAGCACAGACATTTTTTTGTGAGATTGTTATTATATGTGTCTTGTAGATGGACCGGAAGTCCAGGTAGGTTGATCCAAGTATGGGTGATGGGGGATTCCTTCACTGGCAGAAAATCAGTGGTTCATTTGGAGACCCTCAGAATTAACCCATTAACAGACCATGTTTCCCTTAACCAGCATTGTAGAAATTTCTCCTCTCTTTGGAAACGGATGAGAATGCTTCTAGGGGCCAGCAGTGCTATAGTATGGCATCCTTTAAAACGAATTTTGTTAAATGTACTTCGAACCATTGCCAGTTTGTGGATTCCATGAAGGAATGTCCCTATGAGTGCGAAGTTCATTCCTTTAGCCGAGGAGACAATTTCTTCTTCTGAAAAAGAAACTGTCAGCATTCCGTTGAGACGTGAAGCCTGTTTTAAGGGAAATATCTTCTTTCAAAAAATAAGAACATATGGAAATATCTAATAAATATTAAAAGAAATAGGAAAAATTGATATTATTACTCCCAACTATTCACGGTCTGCTTTTTAATAATCCCTATTACGTATTATTTCTCTGTAGTCCCAACTTTAATCATCATTTCCTTTAAATAGTCCCTCGCCGGTTTGCTTTAGTTATGACCGGAAAGAATAAATATATGTGGTTCGGCATAAATGAGAGGTTTAAACAGGAGAAGAAAAGTGGACCGATAAGTGCCTCCTGCTCTCTGCTTTAGCTTCAAATGTCACTATAGGTGCAAGGGGATTTTCTCTAGCTGTTAAGGGAAGGCCAAAAGGAAGGTTAGACGAAAACCAATAGTTTAAGTGTGGTGGGTGTCTGGATGGATTAACCGGTTTGTATGTTTAAATGTGGTGGGGGTTTACCGGCTGGATAGGTATTCAGACGACATGACTATTTAAAGAAAAGTAGTCAAACTCTAAGACAACACGTTTAGAAGATAAAGTATGCATCGACACGGTTGATTTCCAAAGCAGTGTGCCAAAGAATCTACCATTAAGTGGTAAATATAAAAGCAAAACACACGGAATGTGAAGAATGATATGATAGTAAAAGACATCGTCGCTTCTAAAAATAAAATTTAGAATTTGGCAAGACACTCCACCTTTTACAAGTTTTCTTCTTTAAAACAATTGAGGAGTGTTATACAGATGAGTAACAGTATGAGAAGTAAGCCTCTGGCAAATTAAACTGAAAAGATATACTCCCTTTGTCCTCTAAAGGCTGTGATCAATATGAAATTTACTTGATTTCATTAAATGCTTTGTTGGTATCATTTTCAGGTTTCCACCATTCTGAGACTAATTTAAGCTACTGTGTACTTTTATTACGTATTTAATCTGGGGGTAAGATAATTTTTGCACTTTCCATTATACTTATGTATATATTCTATTTTATTCTGGTTTGCTTATTACTGGATATGTTAAAGATTACTCATTGTGCACTCATTTTCAGTACCATCCCCTAAAATTACTTTACCGAATCATTTTTGCCAACACCCACAATCTTTTAGTGCTTTTAAATTAGATAGTCTGTGTGTTATTTCAAGCTTCTATAATATATGACACACTGCCCAAAATACACAGTGTCTTAAAGCTAGCAAAGTGGGTAATAGATTGTGCAACGTGACTAATAGGAAAACCATCACTTCATTAGTAAATTTTGAGCCAAACTTAGTGTGATTGTTTATGTAAACATCCTCTTCATATTTGCTCCTTGGAAGTGCCATCTCCTGCAAGACAAAAACAATAGTTTATCTTTTTAGAACTAAAAAGAGATAACACTCTCAAAGAAACATTAGAATATTTTAGTTCACTCCCTTCCTTACAAAAATATTTTTATATAAATTACCCGTCCTTTAACGATCCTGCCAGCTCGGTCATATTCAACTTCCTTCTCACTTTGAGCCAATAGAAGTTCTGTTGGCAGCATTTCCTCACTAGATGCATTGCCATATTTCTCCATGACGGTATCCTTGGTGTGGAACTCCATTTTCTCTTTGTTGATCTTATAATTTTTATAAAGTAATTCTGTTTGTGATGTAGCTGCTTGCATGTGGATGTCATGACCTCAAATGATTTCCAAGCATGAATATTGGGTTGCTTGAACTCAATAGCTTGTCCACTAAGTCTGTTTTGGTTATCCAACTACTCACACAACCAATCCAGAAATCAATTTTCAAATACAATAACCTGTGTCCACACATAGATGCATGCACTGTTTATCTTGTTTGCTTTATCATATGGAAAGCGATAATATGTACTGTTTTTGAGTCCGTGAATGTCTAGCACCTGATTCAGTTTGCATGACAATAAACTTTGAAACTCTCTTAAAGCATCTTCTAATGTCTTTTAACTATAGAATTCAACAACTTAACCATACTTCTTACGACTTTGAAATTGCTTTTGTTCTTGCTTCAAAACAGATATATGCAATTTCATTACACTATTTTAGTATCGTTTTTAGAGACTAATTTCATCTTCTATGTACTATTTAAAATCTTTTTAGGCTTGAGAGATTGTTTATGTCACGCCCCGGACCTAGTCGAGCACGTCAACAACCCGCCGTACAGTACGAATACTCCACCGCAGTCCAACTCATCCATACTATACAAGGCGTCTTGAATACCATTCACACGTAGTACATCCATAAACAAACATAATGTAAAACATTTATTTAAAACAGCGGAAACATTTACTATAAGAGTTTATGCCACACTTTGGCAAACATGGGCATACAAGTCCCCAAATAATTATTCAGAAATAATATCCATGAGCATTGTTATAATTGTTTTGAAACAGAAACGGAGGAAGCACGAACCACGTCTTCTCCCCGAAGCCACAGACAATGGTAGCAAGCTCAGCTCCTACCTGAAACTGTGAGGTGGCCTCCCCCGTGAAGGGGATGTCAGTACTTGGAAGCATTTGACAAGTACAATGACAACTATACTAAGTATAATCAATGTTTCAATTTCGAAGACCCTTAATCTAGGGTGATATTATATTATAGGCCATAACCCTCGGTTACCCCTTTTATAAAAATGTACTTACTTTATATAAAGTCAAGTAATCGGCCCGTGGGCACCTATTCATTTAGAATTCACCATTTTAATTCCCCGTGACTACTAGTCACGCCAACCCCGTAGGGTTCCCCTGAGTCCCGATTATATAGCAAGGGCTCGGCCCAACTACATTTCTATACAATCCTTCAACTCAATTTAACACATTTAAATTGTATGGCAAGGGCTCGGCCCAACTACGTTTCCATACCAACCATATAACTTCATGGCAAGGACTCGGCCCAACTACGTTTCCATGAAGATCACAAATACATGGCAAGGGTTCGGCCCAACTACGTTTCCATGCTAATCACATTACATGGCAAGGGCTCGGCCCAACTACATTTCCATGCAATCCTAGAGTCCGACTCTAAATTATTTCCATAGCCCAATTCTCAAGCAAATCCTATGCCTAGAATCAATTCACTTGGGTAGCCTTTAGGCCTACCCCTAGCACACCTTAGTGTTCGCATAATTCAACCTTAAAGTATCACTTAAGACTACTTAAGGCATCTTTATTCACAATCCTTTCTCTTAGGATTAATTCTATCATTTATTTATATTAAGCTCCCGACTAGTATTTTAATACTAGTAGGTTTGTCTTAGAACATATCAAGTTCTTAATTCAAATTGACATTTCTTCTCAATTGATTTTCCTATCCAAATATAATTTGATCCCAATATCAAAAATATCACTTTTATCCATTCATGAATTTCATACATGATGTAAAAGTATATTTTATCACAATATTTACATAGTTAATTCCATTATCATGTCATTCCTTTCATGTCACATAATCATACATAATTTATTCTAAATTTGTATATCATGTTTCATTTACTCATATCAATGGTATTTTCATTAAGCATTATTACTCTTTAATAATCCATGAAAATCACTTTTAATACTTTAGGTAATCTTATGAAATTAACTCACTAATTATAAGCAATATAGTCAGCCATCCTCACCTTGTGATGTGCTACAATAGTTGCTTTTGTTACGCCCTCCAATCAATCCCCGTTCTAGGCTGATTGAAAGTGAACTTTCTGGACAGCAGCCAAAAGCCGGGCGGCTTTCACAAAAGCCGGGCGGCTTTTGTAGTCTGCAACTACGAACAGCTCCTTTGGAGTGGCGGTTTCCGGAGATTTCGACTCCTATCGATTCAACAACTCTCCCAAGTTAATTGCCACTACTTTATGACAATATTCTACACTTTTAAACGTGTAGAACTCATGGTTTAATCCATGAACTAGTTAAAAGAATATAGGTAGAGTTCTTACCTTGAACTCAAATTATTTCTTGCTAGACCTCCTTCCTTTTTGCTTCCTTCAAACTTGGACCTTGAGAGCCTTGGTTTCCTTGAGCTCTCCCTCCCCTTGTGATGTCCGAATAAGTGCAAGAAGGTGGGTGAGAGATGCCCTCTCAATCAACCCATCTAATGTAGGATAGGACTTGGGGTGTGAGATTTGTCTCTTGGAGACTTCCCACCTACTATGTACGCCCCCCAGCTGCCTTCCTGGCCATTTGTAATACATAAGAACGTGGGGTGGCCCCCACTTATGTGGGAGGTCATCCCATTATGTCCCGATGTGTATAATCGGCCCCGAAAGTTGTATTTTTCGGACTATTTAAGTCGTATTTTATTTTATCAGGCCGGATAAAATATATCACGCGCTCCCAATAATTATGGACCTTTAGAATAGATGTACATCCCCCAACATTGATTTAGGATTCTCCGAAACTTACTTCGGACTGTTATCCGCTAAATTACCAATACCGGTAATTGGGCCCCGTTTGACCAACCGGTCAACTCCATGCCTTTCCTATGGCCCAAATAAAATATCCACCACCATATAGATGTCATCTAGACCCAGATGAATATAATATGTGATTCTGGAATTATCGGGCGGTCCCCGTTCCCGCTGTGGGCCCCACATGCAATTTACTATTCACGTAAAAGAAATAATAAAATTTAACAATTACATAAATTCATAACTCATCCTTCAAGGTTTATTACATAATTTACTAAAAGTAAACATGCTTGGGGACGGTGTCACAGTTTAGAGTTTCAACTCAACGTGTTTGATCTTGAGGTAAGATAATTTTTCACATTACAATGTATTTGTTTGTAGCTTGTCTGCTATTTTAGCTAAGTTTTTTTGAAAGTGTTTCCTTCGAAAATAATTTAATAGCATCAGTAACTATTTATCTTCTTTGCTTAATGATATGGGAAGCGATAATTTTTTTAAAGTATAATGTGATATACTTTGTGCATGTACATTATATTATCATGTGATATAATTGAAAAGTCTAATTTCAAAAGTCTTATAATTGAAAAATATGGAATTATCGGGATAAAAACATGAAAATCTTATTTCGAGTATTTTACCTAAACAGACACAACCATATAGATAAATCAAATAAAATATGTGTCGAAATTGTTTTTGTATCGGCAGTAATTTTTGTCCCAGAATAATTGTTGTCTTTGGAATTCAATTTGTATTTTGGGGTACTAACCTCCTAAATTTGTGCTTCTTGTCTTTTCCCAAATAAATATTGTTGTGTCTTAAAAGGAAAAAATGTCTTTGATACTTTTATTCAACAATGTTGTGCTATTATAGGACAGAAAAGGGGATTTTGTAACGTTTCGCAATATAACTATATAATTCTAAAATAATTTTTTAGAAATAAGAGTAAAAATAATGTGAAATGATAAATACGATTATTGTAAACAAAGCGGAGAGGCTCTCACCTAGTGTTTTCTAGGTTTGCGTGAACTTTTTTGGCGTTTATCGCCGACATCGGAAGAAGACATTCAGGCTTGGTGGATTGCTAGGGCATATGGAGAAGGCTTCGGCGATTGAAGGTAAGGGCACAACTGTGTCTTCCCTGTTGCAGCAGAAGTCGGTGAAGAAATCAAGCATGCGGCGTAGGAGCAGGGACAACCTTCGGCGTCAAACAACAACACATCAATACTAGGGAAAGGATCGATGGCAAATATCAATGAACAAAGGGAGATTGAGAGGCTGGCTAGTGCGTATGGAAACATGGAGATGGAGGATGGGGATTAATTTCTACATGTAGAGGCTACCGCACTGGATAATGAAGAAGTAGGTTGGTCATTGGTAGGGACAATTACTTTTGAAAAATCGGTACGTTTCTCCATTTTTCGCGATACTATGACAAATATTTGGAAACCTGTTAGACGCGTCACTATTACAGAGTTAGGGGCTAGAAGGTAAATGTTTTGATTTTATAATGAAAATGATATGTTAAGGGTTTTGGAGGAAGGACCCTGTACTTTCGATCAAAACCTTCTCGTATTGGACAGGCTAAGGCAAAGAGATTTACCGTTAGATGTACCCTTAAATAGGGTTGAGTTTTGGCTGCAGGGCCATGATGTTCGGGTTGAATATTTTTCTATGAAAAATGCAATAAAAATTGGTAATTTTGTGGGAAGATTCATTAGAGCGGCCGAACACAATTTTTCTGTCAAATGCAATCCGTTTATGAGGATAAAAGTTAGTATTGGTCTGACCAGGCCCTTGAAACGGAAACTCTTTTTGTAAACACGTGAAAGGGACAACTTTTGTGTCAAGTTTAATATGAGAAACTCCATAGTTTCTGTTGTGCATGCAGTATTATTGGTCATGCAGAAAGGTATTGCCTGCATTATCCCAATGGTATGAGGAAGAGTGGAGACCTACCGTTTGGACTTGAGCTAAGACCTACACAAGGAAGAGTAATGGGAATAAATGCTTAGTTGCGGTGGGTATAGGAAAAGGTAAGGAAGGCGAGGGCAGCACCAGTGTGTCAGGCTTGGATGGTCACGACAATCCGCAAAAGGCCGGAGCAAGAATATCATGTTACAAGAGAGAAGATCGAGCAGAAGCGTAGGAGAGTTGACCAATGGGAGGAAGTCTCTTTGCATGTGAACATGGAGGAAGAACCGGAGACAACAAAAAACGGGGAGGAGGCGTGGTACAATGCCTGTTTGTCACGCAATTAAACAATGGGCAAGAGAATCCAGACGGGGTGGAAGCAAGAGAATTCCATCAGCTGAAGTTTTATTTCTTTTGCATTTTTTATTGCAGACTAAATTTGCTTGTTGTTTTTGTGTTGCACAATAAGGGGGTGGGGGTGGGGATGGGTATGCGTGCTGCTTTTTTTCACAGGTAGGAAACTTGTTAGAGGCAATCAGGCCGATTTAGCCGCTAATAGCCTCTATATATACTCTTACTGTTTCAGCGATTAGTCTCACTCTTCTCGGGATGAACTACTCTATGTCTAATCATGATGTGAGGGGGCCGATGGGGTTTTTGTATGTATTGGATAGAGGGAGGTTTAGATCTTGTGGTACGGTTGTTGTTACGCTTTGGTTGATTCTAATATAAGTTTTTTCTCTCAAAAAAGAAAATTAAGATTATTGTATTTATTTTCTAAAAACGAGTAACTTATGATCACCCTAATATTATGAGGTCATATTCTGAATTATTAGAAATTTAATATGACAATATTAATGTCATTATTAAACTCGATTAATTGTCACTAGATTGAGTAATCATATTATTGGAGCAAAGACAATATCGGGTAACATTGTAACAACATTTGGAACGAAATCTATATTATTGCTCACTCCACTGGGGAGGGGGTCTGGGGGGCCTGAAGTAATCAATGTGAAACTCACTTCATTGAGTTTCAAACCCTTATGTGTCTAGCGATTTTTGAACTCGAAATCTCTCAATAGACACGGTAACCTCACAATCAGCTGGGTTGGATTGCTTGGTTCAATTCCATATTATTACATCTTATGTTATGACAATCAACGAATCCAAGATATCAATTCTTTGCGAATCTTGAAGTATATCTATTTATACATATTTTTAGTCATGGAAACCTATAAGTGGCATTGTTAATAGTTCAAAACAAGAAGGTACGTGAGATCTACGCTGAATGTTTAATATATACGCGTTTTATTTGATAACATGAATGAAAAAAACCCCTATTAAATGGAAGGATCTATTCTGAATAAAACCCCCTACAAAACTGGATGTTTAATATGTACACGTATTTTAATCAAACATTCGTTTACATTTTAAAAAATTCAGGGCCCATAAATGGAAGGCTCGCTGAATAAACCCCCCAACAAAACGGCCTACTACCGTTTGAGTTCTAAAATGTAGGTGACGTTTTTAATGAATAGGATACGATTGATGTACATTCAGGTATGCCGTGGCATTTTATGTAATTAACATCACATCAGAATAGCAAATAAGTCATTTCATGTATACATCTGTGATGCCCTAATTCTCACCTTATAAAAATATCCGAATCTCACCATATATGGCCGAAACGCATAAATTTGAGGTAGAAGCATCATGAACTGCGCTAAGTATTTTTTCAATTTCAAGAATGTGATCAAGCTTGATGATTTAGCGAAACCTGGTGTTATCATCGCGCCACGATTTCTTTGTATAATACAAAAGGTATGTTCTTTCATTGGATTAGTTTTGTTTGTCTAATGCTTGATGTGGTCATGTCATTATCGATGCTTTTTTTTCCGGTATTAATAATAACCATTTTATTCTTAATTATGCCACAATCCGCTTCGATTAATTAAGTTCTACTACCATTACTACGTTTGTGTTTGTTGTAAAATAGACGAGTACTTAATCTTCCCAAATGAACATAATTAGATAGTCAGTATCATCACATGATAATTATCAATGTAAACTAATGAATGCTCGATACTATAAGCTCTTAATCCAAAGTTAGTTAATCTCTCTTAGAAATCTTTGATCTATTAAAACTGGTGATTGAAACAATTGAATGGACTGAATTTATTAAATTAGAAAAAAGTTATATTTGAAATATACTTTTCAAATATAGTGTGCAAGACAAACTGACAGTACAGAATGTGAGTATTATGTCATTAAGTTTATGTGGGAAGTAAAAACTTATGTTTGTTGGATTTCATTAAATCATTTATCAAAGAATTAATATTATAAAAAATTACAAAAATTGTTTTTCTTAAATAATAGTAAAATTAGTACAAAAAATTAATAAACTGTTTTCACTAAAATAAACAAAAAAAACTTAGTCTTATAACAAACTGTTTTCACTGTTTTTCAAAATTAATAAACTGCTTTTCGAAATTAATTTACAACAAACTATTTTATTAAAAATGTTGTACCATAAATAATAAACTGTTTCATCAAAAGATTTTTAACTGCTTTTTCCAAAAAATTAATAAACTGTTTTATCGAAAAAATTATTAATATAAAACAATTACAAAATTTTGTACCAAAAAAAAAATCACCTCTCAAAAAACGTATTACAAAAATTAAACTGTTTGTTTTTAGAATAATACAAAACAACATACTTATTAAGTGCAACAAACTGTTTTATTAAAAATTATAAGCTCTTCCAATGCCATTTATGAGCGAAATATTAAAATAATTCGAATTTAAAAAATGTACAATTTTTATAAGTAAAATAACTGTTTTTTCCAAAAATTAGGAAACAGATTTTACTAAAATAAAATAAAAACTTATTTTTATGAAAAACCGTTATAATTGATTGTCTATAATAAACTGTTATAATATTAAAATAAAAATTGTAAGTAAACTATCTTATAAAATTAATATATAGTTTTTCAAAGTTATAAAAACGCTTCTTTTGAACATGTTGTGCAATTAATACAAAAATGTATTGTTTCATAGTTATAGAAAATTAATTTAAAAAAATTAGACCCCCACATATTAAACTCATACATAGTTTAATATGTTCTATATATTGTTTACAAAAATGCACTCTTTTAGTGAAACTTCTAAAAGATATAATGTTCTATTATTAACACCCTAATATTTCAAAGTATTCCTAAATCATTTTAGATGAGTGAACAACAACGTCGTTGTTCAACCTCTTCTCATCGCGGTGGCTCGAATTCACGATGCCTCTCAAATGTGAACATTGATATCAATGATGATATCAATGATGATGAGGGACATGTCCAAACACCTCCGTCACATGCAACAATCTGATGCCGGTGGAAGCACCTCACATGGGAGTGGAGCATCAACCTCTCGTGCAGGTCCATTTGACCTATATATGCCCCCCCCCCCCAACTGAAGCTGAGCGCAACAATCCCGCTTTGTTTTGGGTGACACCTCAATCGGTTCATACGTAATTAATTACTAACCCTCTCTAATTTAAAAAAATGTTTTTAATATCCGTATATTTTATTATAAATGTTTTAAAATGCCAAAAAATGCATGTTTTTATGAATATTGTTTAATTTAATGTTTATATGTTCCTATACCACTACAAAAAAACACGTGTTTTGTCATGGATTTTTGTCACGGATTACGGCCGTGATAAAGTTGTCACGGTCTTTGTCACGGAAAAATGGGATTTGTCATGAATACGTTTTGTCACGGATACGTCCGTGACAAAATCCGTGACAATTCGTTGTCACGGCTTTGGTCCGTGACAAATTTACTCCGGTGACCGGTTTTTTACTCCGGCCAAAACATTTTTTGCTCCCGGGCATTTGTCACGGACAGATCCGTGACAAAATCCGTGACAAAACTCAAAAAAAGTTTCACAGACGGATCCGTAACAAAATTCGTGACAAATCTCAATTATTGATTTTCCAGCTGTAACCTTTAATAATACCGTACGGAAAAGGAGTTGTCACGGATAAATCCGTGACAACTCCGTGACAAAGTTTTTTATATATCCCAACACCATCGTCCATTACAATTGTAAGAATAACACTTATCAGTTCAAAAATTCGTAGATTCGAGTGATGTAGTATTGGTTTAAAGATTGAATGATGTAATCTATCAGTTCATCATTTTTCCTGATTATGCAGATAAGGTATGTCATTTTAACTAATTTCTTTTAATTATGTAATAAATTATTAGTGAGGTTAGTTGTTCATTTATTTAAACTATTAACGTAATTTTAACGTAATTTAGTGAGGTCATGTTAATTTTCATATTATTAACAATATATTAAACTATTAACGTAATTTAGTTAAATTTAAATATTAGTTAAATATAAATATTAATTAGTTAATTGAAATGAGTTTATATCACCAATGATTAGGCTGGTTTGTTTATTAGCAATATTGTTATTAATGCATAATTTAGGATTTGTAGTGATTTAAGTTAGCTAGCTTATTATAGTGATTTTATAAGATTGATAAATAAATACCAAAAAACCGAAATAATACAAAAATTAATAATAAACTGTTTCATAGGTAAAAAACTGAAATTAAATAAAAAACTCAATAAACTGTTTTTTTATATAATACAAAAATGATTTCATATGTTTCATGAAAAAAATGATTTTATAGGTTTCATGAGTAAACTTTTTTTTATAAAATAATAATCTGTTATTTATAAATTGATACAAAAACTCAAAAAACTCAGAAAACTGTTTTTTATAAATTAATACAAAATACAAGGCGTTAATAAACACTATTTTTCTAAATTAATGCAAAAAACGGATTTTATAAGTTTTATAAATTAATATGAAAAAACTGATTTTATTAGTTTAATATAAAAAGTTAGATTAATTGATTTTATAAGGTTTGATAAAATAATACATAACACAAGTAAATTCCATAACATAAAAATCATACAAAAACTCATTCGACCCCTCATATTAAACTCAAGTTTAATATGTTCTATATTTCGAAGTTTGATAAATAAATAGGAAAAAACTGATTTTATAAGTTTAAACCGTTATACCACACAAAAACACCATAAAATGTTTTTTATATATTAATACAAAAATACAAGAAGTTAATTAACTTTTTTTAAATTAACAACAAACTGATTTTATAAGTTTTATAAATTAATATGAAAAAACTGATTTTAATAGTTTAATATAAAATAACTAAATATAAAAAGTTTGATAAATTGATTTTATAAGGTTTGATAAAATAATACATATCACAATTAAATTCCATAACATAAAAATCATACTAAAAACTCATTCGACCCCTCATACTAAACACAAGTTTAATATGTTCTATATATTATTTCTCAATAATTTTAGATGAGTAAGCACAAACGTCGTCGTTCCACCTCTGCTCGCCGTGGCCTCAAACGCTGATCGTGATATCAATGATGATATCAATGCCGATGAGGGACATGCTAATGACGGACATGTCCAAACTCCTCCCTCCCAACAATCAGACGCGCATATCAGCGTGCATGGGGATGGGGCATCAACCTCCCATGCACCTCCTTCATCTTGTGCAATATATGCCTCCAACTCAAGAAGAGCGCCTCAATCCCGGTTCTTTGAGGTGACACCTCAATCAATTCATAGGTAATAAAAAACTAACACTGTCTAATATAAAACAGTATAATCTATACATCTAAGAATTAATACAATTGGTTTTATCAATTATCAATTTTTTTGAAGCGATCCTGAGGTCTTAAATAGAATCAAGAGTATTGTTTGTGTTCATTTCACGGGGCTTTGGTCGACTTTTGGCGAGGTTCCGGCGGCTACTCGTGAACTATGGTGGCGGTTGTTCAAGGTAAAAAAAATTGTTACATTTTAATAACTTAAATTTAACAAATGATATATCAATGTTTTTAATGAAGGCTTCCCATCGGTGACATCATGGCCTAGACCAAGCTATTCTCAAAAAATACAATTCTAGGATCTCGTGGTGGTTGAGACCCACCTTTAGGACTGCCCGATCTTCCGGTCGAAAGCCAAGATTCCTTGGCGATGATGTATGGGAGATGCTTTGCCGCCATTGGGTCACGGATCCCGTATTTTTGATGAGAAGCGAAGCAGCCAAGACAAACCAGAATTCGGAAAAAGCCAAGGAAGTACAATGGCACTGGGGCCGCAAACCCCAAATTCAACATAAAAAAGATCTCCTAAACTCTAATTAATTAAAATTATTTCCATTACATTCCCTGATGTATATATATTTTTTTAATTAACTTTGAAATCCGTGTAGGAATTATCTGGACCCGTGAAAAAAGGGTCACACCATAGAAACTCGTGGTACATTGTTGGACGAAGAAGGGTGCTGGAACGCCGCCTCCACGCCTTTCTGAAATTGAAGTAAATAATGAAACTTCAATAATTCAATAAATTTTGAATTTTTTAGATCTCTTATATAATAAATTTTTGAACTTGTAGAAAAAATATGAGGAAGAGCGGGGGGAGAGAGGCGTGTGCTGAAGGTTTACAATGCCGAACTTGATGAAAGTCAAGATGATGAGGCCACCTTGGTGGCAACCGGAGTTTACAAGGGCCGGGTGCTGCTTATGGGTTCTGAAGGTTTACGGATCCTGAAGAAGTTCAAAGGAGCTAGCTCATCTTCTCATTCGGTGTATGATGATCGGGTTACCCGCCTCGAGAAACAATTGGAGGAACGTGATGCAGAGGCTCAAAGGCGGGATGAAGAGGCTCGGATACGGGATGAAGAGGCAAGAAGAACAAGAGAAAGATTGGAAGAGATGGAACGACAAATGCATATGTTCAACGCCACCTATCGCCCATCCATGCACATACAACACCCGAAACTACCCCACAAATTCCCTTCATGGGCAATATGGACAGTATGGGCAGTAGGGGTTTTGCTATTTATAGTCATCTCTCCAACAATTTTCCATATGCATATATGATACTCCATCCTTGACTCCCGGAGCTCAAGCAAACCGTGGCAGCAGCCGAGCTGGCAGCCGTGGTGGCAGTCGAGGCAGCTATCGTGGAGGCAATCGTGGTCATGGAAGGCAACCCAACCCGATCATCGTGAAGAACCTTCTTATGATGATGATGATATTTATGATGACCATTGATGGTTTGTAATAACTAGTTTATTGATATTTTAATGTTTATTAAATTTTGGTTACTGTACGAATTTTAATGATTGTTATTATATAATGTTGGTTTGATTGGTTGCAAAAAATGTTTAATTTCTTATAAACAATGTTTATTAAATATAATTTTTTTAAAATGCGCCCAAATATTAATGATTTAAAATGGTTCTTAAATAAACTTTTAAATTTTAATTAAAAAATGCGCTGAAATTTTAAATTATATTTTAAAAAAAATAAAATGTTTGTCATGGACGGGCCCGTGACAAAAATATAAATTCATTTTATCTAAAATACCCTAAATGCTGAAAATAATGTAATGTTTTTTTAAATAAAAACGTTTGTCACGAATTGAATCCGTGACAAGTTCAAAAATTTGAATATTTTCGAAATTTTTAAAGTACCCGCCCAGTTTGTTTCGAAATTTTTCAAAAAATTTCAAAAATTGTTGTCACGGATATGTCCGTGACAAAATAAAAAAATTGAATTTCGCAGCTCGTTTCAAATACCTGCCCAGTCTTTTTCGATTTTTTTTAAATCTGCAAAAACTTTGTCTCGGATATTTCCGTGACAAATAATTAAATTTTTTTAAAATAAAAAAGTTAGTCACGGCTGTGGCCGTGACAAATAAAAGACGGTGTTGTTTGAGTGAAGTGTTTTGTCACGGACGGTGGCCGTGACAAATCCGTGACAAACAGTGTCATGGACCGTTGTCTGTGACAACAACTTTGTCACGCCCCTAATATTACGGATTTGGTTCGTGACAAAGTTCGTGACAAAAACTATTTGTCACGGATTTTTTGAACTACGGTCCGTGACAAATCAGATGTTTTTTGTAGTGTACATTCAATATGTTTATATGTTCATATTAGGGGTGGATTCGGTTCGGGCCACCCGGCCTGTGACCCGGCCCGGCCCGGTACTGTGCGGGTCCGGGACCGGCCCGGTCGGGCGTTCCGGGACCGGGTGTAGACCCGAACCGGTGGGAATGGGCGGGGCGGGCACGGTTCCGGAAAAATGTGACCCGGCTCGGCCGGGTCCGGGTCCAACGGTCCTATTTTTTTAAAAAAAACAAATTGTTAAATACTTACTAGCCGTTATGGCCTTGGGGGGTGGGCTGGGGACAACCCAAACAGCAATATAGCCGTTGGGTGGGGTGCAGGGGGGTCCAGGGGGGTTGGGTGTGGGCGGGGTGGTGGGGGGTGGGAGGTAAAAAAACCTATAAATACTCCTAATCTAAACATTTTTTTCATATCTCTTCTACAATCTTCCTAAATCCTATTCTTAACTCTCTACTCTCTAATTCTCTTATATTCCAATATATTATATTTATTATTTATAGTTTATATTAATTATCTACTTATATAAACTATAAATAGATATAAATAGTATTATATTACTTATATTTGTTATCTAATTATATATTACTTATATATTTATTATATCTATTAATATAGTTGGAATTATATCTAATTAATTTGAAGTCATTCTATTACTACCATCCGAAAGACCGAAAGTCCGAAAGAGGTACGAAATTATTCTATTATTTACACTTGTTTAATTTTGTATTAACGTTACTTGAAAAAAAACTAGTTAATTAGGTTGTACGATTTGCTATAACTCGAATTCATAGTTAGATTAATAGTTAATTACTTTATTACAATTTTTTATTAATTGCTAATTGCTACATTTGACTCTAGTTTAAAAAACTAGTTGTAATTCTAATTATAGTTAAAGTTAAAGTGTATTAATTTCATTGTTCGTAAAAAAAATATGTTGTATACAAAACTAGTTAATTCACTAGTTAATTCGCTATAACTCGAATTAATAGTTAGATTAATAGTTAATTACTTTTTTACAATTTTGTATTAATTGCTACATTTGACTCTAGTTTAAAAAAATAGGTTGTACACAAAACTAGTTATTTCACTAGTTAATTTGCTATAACTCGAATTAATAGTTAGATAAATAGTTAATTACTTTTTATAATTTTTTATTAATGGCTACATTTGACTCTAGTTTAAAAAAATATGTTGTACACAAAACTAGTTAATTCACTAGTTAATTGCTATAACTCGAATTAATAGTTAGATAAATAGTTAATTACTTTTTTTTCAATTTTTTATTAATTGCTACATTTGACTCTAGTTTAAAAAAATAGGTTGTACACAAAACTAGTTAATTCACTAGTTAATTTGCTATAACTCGAATTAATAGTTAGATAAATAGTTAATTACTTTTTTACAATTTTTTATTAATCGCTACATTTTTTAGATGGATCGTCCTAGATATTCGGTTGATATGGGTAACCTCGAGCGCAACCGAACGAAAGAGCTTGCGAGGAAGAGATCCCGCAAAGGTAAATCACATATCGGCTCTTCATCTCAAAGTCGAGATGATTTTGATACGGGTTACGCAAGGAGGGATGGGGATGCGATGACCGACGAACAACTAGAACAAGAATTGCACCGACATAATTCCCGCTTTTTTCAAGACCAACCGAGGTCCATTGACGAAGAAGAGCTCGAGGACGAGGACGATGATGTGGAGGAAGTAATACGGAGAGCCACGACGATGAGGAGGAGGAGGGTGGCGGCAGCCGTGATGCCGACCAACCTGCCTCATCCCAAACAGGTACAAAAAAAGTAAATCTGAACTCATGGCTAATAATTTTTCTAAGTGGAAGGACCCGAACACCGGGAATTAAAAAAGTAAATCTGAACTAATGGCTAATAATTTCAAATCTATGTTTGGCAATCTTATTAAAAAAACGAAATCAACTCCCACTACACAACAAAGCACAATTAATGAGATTTCTTTGTATCTAACATATGATGTTGATTTTGAAGAAGATGATGATTTTGACGTACTAAACTGGTGGAAGGGAAAATAAAGAATGTTCCCGGTTTTAGCAAAGATGGCTAAGCAAGTGCTATCAATGCCGGTTTCAACGGTTGCCGTGGAACAAGAATTTAGTTCGGTCGGCAATGTCCTAACGCAAACCAGAACGAGGTTGAGCGCAGAATCTCTTGAGATGCTTATATGCTACCACGATTGGTTGAAAGCAGTCCGTAGAGCTCAAGAAATTGACATCACCCCATCCCAACACTTTATGGATGAATCTACAACCGAAGGTGGCTCTACCTATGCCGGAGATTCCGATTGAATGATTGATTAGTATTTCATGTTTTAATTTTACCTTCAATTCTCAATTGTAGTTCCTATTTAATTTTCAAATGTAGTTCCTATTTCATTTCAAATAAATGCACTTGAAGTTTGTTTTTAATACTTGTATAAAACTATAAAGTATAAAATATAAATTATAAAAAAAAATCTATAACCGACCCGGCCCGGCGGGTGCCCCGACCCGTGACCCGGGCGAGTGGCCCGGACCGAACCGGACCCGTCCAACCCTCGGGCCGGTCCCGGGCCCATATTATATGAACCTTCGGCCCGACCGGGCCTAGGCCCGGGCCCGACCCGGCCCGAATCCATGACTAACTTAAAGTGTTCAATTAGCCCCTTATATAGGAGATTCTGCTCGGCCGTCGCCAATTGGGGCGGTTCCCGGTGGAATTTTTTGATGAATTTTTTTGAGCATCTTCTTCATTAAGTCTAGTTTATCCATATCAAATTAAAGATAAAAATTAAACCGGGAAGGCAGTCATGATTTTCTAGAGATAACTGCGCAGTTAAACAGCGCAGTACATTTCTGAAAATCATTTGTCTGCCTTCCCGATTTCATTTTTAGCTGAAATTTAATCAAATAAAATCCATCGGGAACCGCCCCAATTGGCGACGTCCGGACAGAACCTCCTAAATAAGGGGCTAATTGAACACTTTAAGTTAGTTCATGTACCTATTTGACCCTTTAGCCTATAATGTTTATTTGATTGTTTGCAAAAATGTTTAATTTATTATAAACAATTAAGTAAACTTTTTAATTTTAATTAAAAAATGCGCCAAAAATTTTAATTTTTTTTTAAAATATAAAAAGTTTGTCACAGACGGGTCCGTGACAAAATATAAATTATGTATTTTTATTTAAAAGAGCGCTGAAAATACTATAATTTTTTTTTTAAAAAAAATGAAACCGTTTGTCACGGATTCTATCCGTGACAAGATCAGATTTTTTGAATATTTTTCAAAATTTTTTCAAAGTACCCGCCCAGCTTGTTTCGAAAATTTTCAAACATTTTCAGAAAATGTTTTCACGGATATTTCTGTGACAAGTATTTCCGTGACAAAAATTTGAATTCCAAATCATTTTTCGAATACCGCCTAGCCTATTTCGATTTTTTTAAAAAATTTTCAAAAACTTTGTCACGGATATTTCCATGACAAATAATTAAATTTTTTTAAAATAAAAAAGTTAGTCATGGCTGTGGCCGTGACAAATAAGGACCGGTGTAGTTCTGGTGAAGTCATTTGTCACGGACGGAGGCTGTGACAAATCCATGACAAATAGTGTCACAGACTCGCGTCCATGACAAAAACTTTGTCACGCCCCTGATGTCATGGATTTGAGCCGTAACAACGTCCGTGACAAACTTCATTTGTCACAGATTTTTTGAACTACCGTCCGTGACAAAATCCGTGACAAATCGAGTGATTTTTTGTAGTGTCCTGCTTTTTTTGCGGTGATCATTATCAATATAAACTAATGAATACTCCTTATGTGATTTACTTTAATCTGTTTTTCCAAAGGTTGTTAATCTCTCTTAGAGATCTTTGATCTTTGATCTATTAAAATTGGTGATTGAAACAATTCAATGGACTGGATTCATTAAATTAGGAAAAAGTTATATTTGAAATATACTTTTCAAATATATAGTGTGCAAGACAAATAGACAATACAGAATGTGGGTATTGTGTCATGAACTTTATGTGGGAACTAATAACTTATGTTGAAAGTTCAGATATTGGACAAGTATTTTAATTATATATACTTCAATAAGTGGATTTCATTAAATCATTTAACTTATACGTAGTATATAATTTAGTTTCGCATTATTTATTTTATCTATATTTGTATGAGTATTTCCAGGTTTGGAACTGAAGAAATGAACCATATATGATGGAGGAGTTTAATTATATCAAAAAAGTGCATGCTAGATTTTTTGTATACAATATCAGAGAGGTGTGAAATATATGACCACGAGTACAAGGGAATGGGTCATAATATGGTCTCTTATTAGTCTGCCATTTTGAGGCAACCGATGTGTCCGAAAAATAAAATACATAGAAATAATACTCGCTCCGTCCTGGTTGAATCTTGATGTTTGTTTTTGTCACGGTGTTTTAGGAGATCAATTAATAGAAGAACAAATGACTTGGATGTCCTTTGACTTTTGGGGGGGAATTAATGTTATCCACTCAAATATAAAAAGTGGGTGGGTGGTCACTACAAGAATTTTCGCGTTTTAGTGTCGGATTTTCCGACACTAAATCCGTCAGCAAACAGCTTTGTGTCGGATATTAGTGACGGATGCATCCGTCGCTAAATTCTGGACATTAATCAAATTAGCGACGGATAAGCTAGTCATACGCAAATTAGAGACGAACAATAGTGTCGGTCTATGTTGCACGGAAACGTGAAAGTCATGAGGAAACGGGAAACGGGAAACGTCAAATGTTGCTCAAAAAGGGCTTGTTTGGAGAGTTTCCAAGAGTTTCCGTAGAGTTTCCGAAACGGAAACGTACTCCTTCCCAAGAGTTTCCGTGCTACATAGGTGTCGGTTATTCCGCCATTAACATTTGTGTCGGATAATCCACCACTAATTTCCGTCAATGATTAGTTTTTATGAAATTAGAATTTTTCTTTAATAAAATATTCTTTTGTAATATAAATAATAATTATTTTTAAATTCGGAATTTTTTATACCAAAAAACGCAGGACCACCACTAATGTCAGTGATTAAATTTTTTATAAATAACTTCTTTTAAATAACATATACTCCGTATACATTTATACTTTCAATATGTGAATTCAATGAAATAATTATAACAAAACATATACTAAAAATGTAAATCTGAAATCTAGAGGCAAATGAACAAAACACATAACAAGCATGTGCAAATATGCAACACATAATATTACATATTGTAGTCTAAAGTCTAAAAACATTCATCAAATAGCATCAATCCATACTCAAATTTAACAACATCAAATACAAACTAGATATTAATATTAAACTTAACACAAATCTAGTGACAAAGTGATTCATGAAGAGACTGCAGAATCATCAGAGGATTCTGATGTTGGAAAGAATGTGGGTGCATCAATCCCTATCGATTTCAAAAATGGAAGCCATGTTTGCTCAAAGTTCTTGGGCTGTGAGTTGGGTTCCTCGTCTTGAATATGATCATCCACAATTGGCATTTCTGGGGGCCTCATCACCCTCTGAAATTAACAGCTCCCTCATGCGTGCATCCCAATAAGCACAAAATTCATGCATCCGACAAACTCTTGAAGACGGGCGTTCTTTACTTGAATCAATTACTGCCAATTCATGAAGGAAAGTTTCTGAATAACTGCCAAGTCCACCAACTCTCTGTTTTTTGCAGCCAACAATTTCCAAGTATTTGGAAGACAATTTAGTCGATGCGATCTTGGGTGTTGTCGAGCTTTCTTCTTGACTTGAAGGTTGAGACTGTTGTTGGAAATCATCTTGACAAGCATTATACAATTTCCTCAAATACTCCTATAAAACAAAAATAAAAACATAAGTAAACCTACAAAAAAATGAACAAATTATGCAAAGGGATGACCACACCATGTCCAACAGATTATACCTTCAAAGAAGCTTATGATAGGAAATCATCTAGCATCAAAGTATGTCCACCACACAACCTACTCTTCTTTCAACTACACCACTATGGTCATGCCTAAAAGCATGGTGCTGTTTTAGTTACCTGTCATTTTATAAAATCATTCATCGGTTCTACTAATTAAATGTACAACAAACCTTAGAAAAAAATCAGCAAACAAACACTTAATGATTGACACCCATACACAATCACCAATTGACACGAACTAGCAGTCTTATTGTCTACCCAAAACTCGATTACAACATATACACATACTAATAGTACGGCAGCATTTTCATTAATAGTACTAAAATTGATAATAAAAGTCTGCAAGAAAAATGGCAGCAAACTCAATACCAAGAAAAAATGGCAGCAAACTCTTCGAACAAAATGCTTACCAACTTTGAGGGAAAAACAGAGGAGAATAAAATCGTTTGGCTACTACAACTTACACCCTGAATGAGTCAATCTCAGGGCAATTTTGCAATACATATGAGTGGACAACATTAGATTCATTTTGGTCCATGTACCGCCTCGTGCTTGCACCAATTGTTTTTGCCTTCTGTGCAAAAACTAAAACACTAAAATCAGTGTTAATCATGCAACCATCGTCAAACCTGGGGATATGATGTGCTTTTGTGGCTACATCCTCTGGAAAATAATAGCTTGCAAATGTGCTCATTTTACTTTGTAAATAACCTTCCCTAATAGATGCTTCAACCCCAGCCTTATTTCCAATTTTAGTCTTCAGCACCGATCCCAAGAAACTACAAGAGTTGCACAAAATAAGATATTGAGTAAATTAAAAAAAAGTCACATGGCTATATAAAAGTATTAATCATCCACCTTTCAAAACGATACATCCATCGATATTGTGGAGGCCCGCCGAGCAAAGCTTCATCCGGTAAGTGCACAATAAGGTGTTCTGTAGGGTCAAAGAACGAGGGTGAAAAAATCTTCTCCAACTTGCACAAAATCACAGGAATATCTTCCTTTAGCTTCTCAATGTCACACACCGATAGTCTTTCTTGTTAACTCATGAAAAAATAAGCTAATCTCCGTAATTGCCTCCCATATCCAATCAGGCAGCATCTCTTTTAAAGCAACTGGAAGTAGGCGTTGCATGAAGACATGACAATCATGGCTCTTCATCCCAAATACCTTAAGCTTCTCCATTTTCACACAACGGCCTAATCGAGATGCAAAACCATCTGGGAACTTCAGTGAATCAATCCAGCTGTATAAAACATTTTTTTGTTCATTTGGGAGGGTGAATGGAGCTTGAGGATATTTTCCATGAGAGTCTCTACCCATGCTCGGTCTATGGCAAATATGCTCCATATCCATTCTCCCTTGTGTATGGTCCTTTGATTTTACTGGTACTCCCAAAATTGTATAGAAGATATTTTCAAAGAAATTCTTTTCTATGTGCATGACATCAAGATTATGTCGTATGAGCAAATTCTTCCAGTATGGGAGATCCCAAAATATGCTACGCTTCTTCCATCCAATATTTTTTCCAACAATTGCATTGTGCTCTACACCACCCAATTCAGTAACTGACATGAAACCATTTACCTCATCATAGCAGTATGAGCCATCCCTGTGGATCGGGGGGCCATACAAGATTGATTTACCTTTGGTAAAATTATTTTCATCTAACCGAAATGGATGGTCACTTGGTAGAAACTTTTTGTGGTTATCAAACCAACTATGCTTTTTACTATGAGGTAGCCAAAATGCTTCGATGAACTCGGTACAATAAGGACATGCAAACTTCCCCTTCGTGCTCCATCTCGATAGCATGGCATATGTTGGAAGGTCACTAATTGTTCATAACAAAATAGCTCTCATATTAAAAGTTTGCTTTGAAACTGCATCATATGTTATGGCACCAACCTCCCACAATTCTTTAAGCTCCTCTACCAATGGTTGCAGGTACACATCAATTCCGTTCGCATGATTCCTTGGTCCTGGAACTAATATAGTTAAAAATAAGAATTGTTGTTTCATACACATACCTGGAGGCAAATTATACGGTCTCACGATTACAGGCCAACATGAGTATTTTTGTCCAAATTGACCGAAAGGCTGAAACCCGTCTGTGCATAGACCAAGTCTAACATTTCTCGGATCTTCAGCAAATTCTGGATAAAGATTGTAAACATGAATCCAAGCCTTTGCATCTGATGGGTGACGCATTACTCCTTCCTCCCTGTGGTGATTTTTATGCCACCTCATATCATCCGCTGTAGTAGCTGAAGCATAAAGTCGTTGCAATCTAGGAGTAAGAGGAAAGTACTCCATTTTTGCAAGAGGAATACACTTATTTGTCTGCTTGCTAATGTCATACCTTGGAGTAGAGCAAAATGTACACTCCAGTAGCTCACTATTTGCTCTCCAATATATCATGCACCCTTTCGGACAACAATCAATGGATTGATGGCTCATTCCTAACACAGATAGTTTTCTTTTAATTTTTTTGAAATTAGGAATTGGTTTGTTTGGAATGTTTGATGGGAAAAACCTATTTATGAATTGAGAAATTATATCAGTTGCACCTTCTGATAAACTCATCTCCGTCTTTAAATTCAACATTTCTGTCATTGCACTCAACTGCGTCATTGGGCAGCCATCAAAACACGGTTGACTCATCGTATCTAACATTTCGTACATCTCTATTGTGACTGGACAAGGTTCATCCTCTCCAACCTCATTGTGGTCAAATCCCATTGGGAGCTCATTCCTCATAGCATCTTCAAGCATTGATTTGTACGGATCATATTGCGCTCCAGATGTATTACCATGAGATGAACTACTCTCATCCAAATAAACTAAATCATTTGAATTATATGGCTCTTCGTGTGCTGCCCATAAATAATAGTCTTCCACAAAGCCTTTTTCAAATAAATGTTGTCTAACAATCTCTCATGTCAACCACTTTTTATTCTTGCACTTTCTACAAGGACATGCAATAACACCGCTTGGATATAAGTCTACCGCCGCTTGGATAAACTCAGTAACTCCTTCCTTGAAATCTTCATTTAGAACCCCTCGTCTTGCAAGCCTTTTATACATCCATGATCTATCGTGGCTCATTTAGAAACCTATACAAGATATAACACTAAATAAGGTTATTTATTCATACCATTAAATAATTTTGTTGACGGAATCACATTAAATACTTAAAGAACTATGTCATTTTATTCACAAACACCTAAATATTGTATTTAAATACTAAATGAAACATCCACCAGTTTTGTTTATCTTTCTCAACAAAAAAAATTAAAAACTTCATTTATATTTATTACTTTAATTTCTCAAACTAGGGCATCAAATCTATCATTTTTAAAAACAAACACCATACACATTCACAAATATATTCAAAGAAGTATATATTGTTTTTTCATACTCACCATCTTAACCTAAAATTAAATTTAAAGTTCATCACACTAAAATAATGTGAATGTTTTTATATCATTAAAGAATGGGCCAATTTTTTTCAATATAACCTAAATCTATGTTAAAACAACCAAAACGACGACTAATAATCATTCATTTATACATATAATTAATTAATCATTACAAAAGGCTAATAAAAGATACTTTCCTCAAATAAAAGGACTAAGAAGTCAATATTTTTGTGTATACAAGAAAAAAACATGAAATCATATTTTTACTTTAAATATTTAAGAATAACATCATATTATATATAATCAATTAATTAATATAATAAAATTATAAATAATAATTAAAAGGGGTTTAATGCATACGACCCCCCGTGATATTAAAATGTTGCGTATTATCCCCCTCTGTTATAAAAAATGCACGAAAGCCCCTTATGTTTTCATTAAATGTGCTTACCCGCCCTTATCGGAATAAAGGAATGATGCCGTTACTTTTTTTTCAAATATCCCGTTATATCCTTATTTCGTAGCCAAATTAGGGCAGCCGTTCAGTACTCCATTCAAAAATCGAAGGGGAAGAAGGTCGTCGCACCAATTTGAAGCCAGATGATCCAAAATACCTACTTTCCACTAACTTTCCTTCTTAAAACTTCTACGTACTGGATGGTAAAAAATTAGACTGCTGCTCGTCATTAATTTTGAGGTATGCTTTACCAATAACTTGTCCTTTTCGTATTGTTTGATAATTGTAATTTTAGTTTTTGTTTTGTAAAAGTTTCTTGTTTATTAATGTAGTCTGATTTTTTTTTGGGTTACTTAGTATAGTACGTATTAGTAGGGATTGTAACTGGGGCTTATTTAGAGTCAATAAAGACTAAGGATTACTTGTATTTGCTTTTTCTGAAAATAAAGTAAGTAAAAATAAAATTCAAGCTCTAATGGAAAGAACTTGTTAGTTTTTAACTGCATTTTATGTTCTAATTTGGGTTATTTTTTCTTCTTCTGCACTGTGCATATATTGAGCAACTGCTATATCTAGTTTTGAACATTTATATATGGGTAAACATAAATTAAAAGTTCTGCATTTTTTAGTTTGAGCATGTGTTTCTTTGCACATTATATCGAACATACAAGGGTTAATAATTAATTGTCTAACCACATTGATGATTTGGACTTTGCTTATATATGTATTTGGCAGGACACATAAAGAGGCCGTTTGTCAACCCTCATTTTCGTCTTATCAGGCTTATCAGCCAACTTTTTTACCAAACACGTAAATTTTACTTTTGCGCGCTGAATTGTGAAATAAGCCGAAAAAGTAAGGTTGAAGTTACTTTTCTGGCTGTATTGGCTGAAGTTACTGTAGATGATCATTTTAGCTATTTTTACATATAATTTTTTCTTTATTTTATTAATATAATAATATATTTTAAAAATATTTTTTTCTTGTATCAGCAGAATCAGCCAATGCAGCCACTTCAGTCAGAACTTCATAAATTTCAGCAGAATCAGCCAAAACAGCCGATTTTCATGCTACCAAACGGGCTCAAAAATGTCTTCTGAACTTTTGACAATTAATGTAAATGAACCTTATACTGAAGTAGAAGATGAAGAGGGGAATTCTTCAACTGATGATTTTTAAAAAAGTTGATGATGCTATGTGACATCACTTTTTTAAATATACTTTTTAAAAAATAGATTGTAAAAGAAGTTAAAAATCTGGAAAACAAATACGGAGTAATTAAATATAGTATAATTAATGGTTCAAGTCTACAACAACACTTACAGAAATGAGATACGAAACAAAACTCAGCTTGGGGCAATTATTAGGAAAGGAGATGATGAATATGGGATAAATTGGACATTTTGCTAGTTAAAAATGTAAAAAAGGAACCCAAAAACGCACTAATCGCGCGTGTAGTACAATCACGTTAACTTCACCGTTTGTAGCGGTAATGTGCTTAGTTTATTAAAACACACAGGGGTTGTGTGCATTTTTTATAATAGAAGGGGGTAACACGCAGAATTTTAATATCACAAAGGGATTCTATGCATTAAACCCTAATTAAAAGTAAGAGCTCTAACCTTGAAATGACGTCCAGATCTATTTTGATAGAGAGATAAGGATAAGATATGTGTGTGGTGGAATGATGTGTCGGAGGTATTGGTAGAGATATAAAGTTCAAATTTAGTGACGGATTTCAGTGACGGCTATATCTGTCACTAATTAGAGACGGATTTCTCCGTCACTCCTATCCGCCACTAATCAGTGTCTACCACGTATCCATCACGCGTTCCGTCACCAAATAGTGGCAGCTTTATTCGGACGCCAAATGTTGGCAGATGAGCATCCGACATTAAATCCGACACTAATTACCGTCTGATTTTAAATCGGACACAAAAATCCGACAGTAATTTCCGGATTTCTTGTAGTGGCTGAAGGGTAGTTAGGATATTTAATGTAAAAGGAGTTGTCTAAAAAGGAACGTAAAGGAGTAAATGGGACATCCCAAAAAGGAAAGTGTAAAGATTTAAATAGGATGGAGAGAGTATATAATTATGACTAGGGTTGGCATTTTTGACCGAAAAACCGAAACCGAACCGAAAAAACCCGAACTGTTTTGAAAATACGAACCGAACCGATATAATTTGGGACCCGAAAATTGGGACCCGAAAAAAAAGCGATTCGAAATCGGTTTATAGTTCCAACAAATCGGTTTGAACCGAACTGAACCAACATTTTACTAATAATAATTATAATAAATTTATAGTTAATAACCTTTATTAAACGTATATATAATGATATGCAGTCCTGGAATATCGAACGGAGTCCTCCAGCAAGATGGTTGCCAAGCGAGCTGATGACTCAGATGTCACGTGTTCGAATCTTGGCGGCGTTGTATGTTTATTCAATGCTTCATTTTTCCAATTTTCCATTTTGTATCCATAGCCCTTTGTCCCACACCGGAGAAATGAGAGAGTTTCCTCCTCAAAAGCATCTATATATTGGATGTTAACTCAACCAACTAATCGTGAAGTCCTTACATACTCCATGAGTTGTTAGGCAAAGTAGCTGGGCTTTTGAAAACTTGGGCCTAGTGTATTGAAAAGTTCATTTTTTTTTATTTATTAAAAGTCGGTTATTCTTTCGGGTTTCGGTAAACCGACTTGAAATATTGGTTTCCGATAATTTGATACCCGTTTCTGAATGATTATGGTTATTTGATAACCGAAATATTAGTTCGGTTTCGGGTTAACCTTAATCGGTTCGGTACCTGAACCAAATCCAGCCCTAATTATGACTATAAGGGATCAATAAGGACACCTTTTCTTATAGCCTAAAATCAATACGTAGAAATCCATATATACTTTGTTCAAGACCTTTTATACGTAAATTCATCGGTTCATATCCAATTTTGAGATATTTATTCCCGTTTCTTCGCCCAATAAGAACAAGAATTCTTCCCTCATCCGTTCATTATTTCGATGAATTTCTTTTGCCTTTCATTTTGATCAAGTTTTTCCAAGATCATAGCTCAGCCGAAAGCTTTGTTTCTATAGCTAGCAAGTTTTGTTTTTTCTTGAAGTATTTTAATTTTATAGTTGCTAGGCTTGAAGTGTACAAACATAAAAGTTTTTAGAAATATTTTGTACTTTTCATTACATCCAAGCAGTATATGTTATACTACTGTTTTATTTATTTTTGCATTAGTTTCTTTTTAAATATTTACTAGTTTCCTTAATTAATGTTAAGTAGGTGATGTAAAATGGTAGAAGGTCGTGATTGGATGTATAAGTGTCGAAGTCGGACTTCTGATAATCTAAACTATGAGTTTGTAGAAGGTGATGATTATGATTTTACCATATCTCAAAACAAAGGAGAAGATATGGTGAAATGTCCATGTAAAAAATGCAAACTCAGAAAGTACTACGATAGACACTACAAAAACACATCAGTTTTATCACGGATTTTTGTCACGGATTTGGTCCGTGACAAGTTTGTCATAGCCATCATTACATATATGTCTGATTTGTCACCAAGTACTTTTGTCATGGATTTTTCCGTAACAAAATCCGTGACAAACGTTTGTCACGGATTCTGTCCGTGACAAAAAGGTTCCGGCGACCGAAAATTTACTCCGGCATAATTTTTTTAATTATGGGC